TAATCTTCTGAATAACACACACACACGCACACACAAACACACACACACACACACACACACACACGCACGCACGCACGCACGCACGCACACACCCACGCACACACACACACACACACACACACACACACACACACACACATTGAGGTGATGGAGCAGGTGTGTGATTAATAGTGCTCTGCTCTCCATCAAACACACCGAGACAAAAAGTAAAAGAGATCAGTGTGTGTGTGTGTGTGTGTGTGTGTGTGCTTCCAGATTCAAGATCTGGTAGATTTATAACCCGTCTGTGTTCTTCTTCCCTCAGTATCAGCTGATATCACACATAGTCTAGTGCTGAGAAGTTTCCACAAATCCGTTCTTTTGAACATTTTGTTTCATCGAACCAGTTACAACATGAACAATCACCAGCAGCAGTTCATTGGATCTCTTACATGATGACATTTTCCCAGACAGACATACAGTTCACACGGGTTAAATATGTTTTAGTGGTGCACTCAAGTGCCTATTGAAAACATTACAGATGCAAAAAACACTTTAGAGAAACATGGTTAAAATTAGATCAATTCAGTCTTCTAGAGAAACGTGTTAATCTAAGGCCAGTTGAGATCAGTAATACTTACTATTACTAATACTAACACATTTACTTGATTTAATGTGTTAGCCAGTGTTCAAAGTGCATAAAATAAAATAAAATAAAATAAAATAAAATAAAATAAAATAAAATAAAATAAAATAAAATACAATAAAATAAAATAAAATAAAATAAAATAAAATAAAATAAAATAAAATAAAATAAAATAAAATAAAATAAAATAAAATAAAATAAAATAAAATAAAATATATTTATTTATTTATTTATTTATTAATTAATTAATTAATTAATTAATTCATTCATTCATTCATTCATTCATTCATTCATTCATTCAGGGGTCACTAAGATTTTCTTTAAAGATATTAATACTTTTATTCATCAAGGATGCATTAAATTGATCAAAAGTGAAAGTAAATACATTTGTAATGTTACAAGAAATTTCCAATAAATGCTGTTCTTTTGAACTTTCTCTTCATCTGTGAATCCTGAAAAATAAAATGTATCACGGTTTCCACAAA